AAAAATCATTATGTCTAAGATCTAAAGTTTGCAAGTTATATAAAGAACAAATTGCATCCGGTAACTCCTCTACACCACTCCTACTTAAATCAATGTACCTTAGATGAAGCAAATTTCCTATCTCCTTTGGGAGTTCTTGCAACTTACACCGATGCAATCCTAATAGTCTCACAGATTTCAGACCATTGAACAAATCAGGAATAAGTTCTTCAGGAGAAAGGCGTTCACCAAAAAAGCTGCGAAGTTTTCCAACATCACGAATGGAAGCAGTGAGATTCATATTCCTACCAGTGTTCTGCCATGACAAATGACGTAGATTTTTAATTCTGACATCATCCTCGTGCTGGTCAATATTGTAGAATTCATTTTTGGTAAGAAACTGGGCAAAATCATGCACTATGTCATGCATTTTGCAATATATGATAATGTTGGAATCCACGTCATCTTTCTCAAAATCTTGGAAGAAAGAGCGCATTGCTAAACCCCCAAATAACTCCCTGCCTTTTGATTCCATCGTCACATAACCTTGTGCCATCCAAATTCTGATGAGCTTATCTACCTCTATTTCATAATCTTTGGGAAAGACAGCACAGTATGAGAAACATTGCTTCATCTTTGGGGTCAAATCATTATAGCTTAGATACAAATGAGGGAAGAGGTTTGTTACCACTTCATCCAACTCCCAAATTTTATTGTCTAAAACATTTTGCCAATCGTCTTCAGTGTATTTGAAACGTAGCAGGCTTCCCATGACCCTAGCAGCAAGTGGCAGTCCTTTGCACTTTTGAGCAATTTTCTGACCAATTTCTTTCAGTTTCTCACAATCCTCTTCCCTTCTCCCGGAAAATGCTTTCCTGCTAAGCAACAACCAAGCTTCCTCGTCAGATATTAGATCCAACTGATGCAGATACGCACTTCCCATCATTCTAGCAACCCTCTCACTCCTTGAGGTCACCAAGATTCTACTCCCGGGGAGTCCATCCTTGAGAGAGTTCTTCAATGGCTCCCACTTTGCAGACTGCTCTGTCCACACATCATCCATCACAAGTAGGAACCTTTTTCCAGACAAAATGCTTTGGACTTTTTCCAGTAATACATGCAATTGAGACAGATCTGTGGAGCTTTTAGTGGTTGACTCAACAATGGCTTTTGCAATCTTGATCTGGTCAAAGGGGTCGGAAACACAAATCCACACCCTTTCATCAAAATGAGTCTTGATCTTTTCATCCCCAAAGACTAGTTGAGCAAGGGTAGTTTTCCCTATTCCTCCCGTGCCCACTATGGAAATCACAGGGGGGCCATTTCCATTTCTTGCTTCGTCTTCTCCAGAATTCTCCACTAACTTGCTTATTAAAGCACTGGCATCAGATTTCCTACCTTGAATCTCAGACGCATCCACATCAAACGCAGTGGTGACTCGCATCAATTCTTGATCAGAGTGTGATGCTGCACAAGTGTGTGTTATAGATGCATAATCAAATTTGAACTGATCTTTCTCTTTCGTAATCCGATCAAGTGTTGAATCAAGCTCCTTTATTTTCTTGGCGATGTCTCGATGCATAGCAAACCTTTTGTAATGGAAACGCGAAGGCAGGAAAGAGCTGAGACTTACCTTTCTACCCCTTACTGGAGCTGAACTCTCGATCTGTTGTCTCAGAGTTCTGGTTCTCCACTCGTCCAGAACATCGTCCACTTGGGAGAAGTCTTTGATATTTTCGATCCAGAGCTTGATGCCCTTTTCCTTAATGCTTCTCTTCTCTGCATCATCCAGTACTTCCCTGATTTTCTCGAGCTTTGATGAGAGGTTTGCGATCTCCTTCTCCACACCTAAAGTTCTTTTTAGCTCCTGGGCTTGGTGCTTCAGGATTTCGATCAGCTGTTCCACAACACTGGAGATGAGAGCGTCGGCCATGGTCGTTGACTCTATAGTTGAGAGATGAGAAAGTGAATTAAAGAAAAAAACATAGAACACACCCTTTCTATGTTTTTTCTTTCATAATCATATCATCCCTGTCCATGTTAATTTGTTTTATATATATTTTTTTTTGAAGGCTTTATTTCTACTATACTAATAAGATATATCAATGTGCATATTTGACAATTAGCAGTTAGCGGTTAGCATTAGTGGATTTGACCAGCGAATTATATCAACGGTTGGCAAAAAGATATTTGAAAAAATTAGCGGTTTAGATTAACATGTAAAATGACTTACTATACTAATACTCCATAAGATATATGAATGTCCATGTTTGACAATTAGCAGTTAGTGGTTAGCATTAGCGGATTTGACCAGCGAATTATATTAACTGTTGGTAAAAAGATATTTGAAAAAATTAGCTGTTTAGATTAACATGTAAAATAACCTAAGGGTATAATAATAATAATAATAATAATAATAATAATAATAATAATAATAACAACAACAACAACAACAACAATAACAACAACAACAACAACAACAACAACAACAACAATAATAATAATAATAATAATAATTGTTTTAAAAAAAATAATAATTAAGCCAATCATATTAACTACTGGGGGATTTATTGACAAAAAAAAAAGTATTCAAATCACACAACAAATTGAAGTGGGAAACTACCTCGCAATGTCCTTGTTTGGCAATCAACAGTTAGCTCTTCAATATTAGTATATATTTCATATTTTATGCCCTAATTTTTATTTGCTCTCCCATGTCTCGTATTTGGTTTCAACCGTACTTATACAATTATTTTATTCACAATTATAATCAATCTTGACTATATATCTTGCATTTGTACATAAACTTAGAATTACCTCAATGGTTAAAGTTTACAATGATTGTTCAGTTTTTATTTCATGTCTTAGCAATATTAGCTCATTTCGATCTTATGTTGGCTTTAATTTACACTACTACAGAATTCACATACAACGTCGGGTCTTTAACGTCGGCTATATACATAGCCGACGTTAAAAACATTTAATTTTTTTTTAATAATTAGGTTTATAACGTCGGCTCTTTGTAATAGCCGACGTTATAAATATAAAATAATAATATAAAATAAATATATAACTTACGACGTCAGCTGTATTAATAGCCGACGTCGTAAGTTTTTATTATTTAAAAAAAAAACAAAAATTATTTATATAAACGTCGGCTAAAAGGATTTAGCCGACGTTATATACTAAAAAAAATAAAAAGAATACGACGTCGGCTAACTATTTAGCCGACGTCGTATTCTTTCTAATTTATTTTTTTTTAATTTTTTACTTTATAACGTCGGCTAAATGTATTAGCCGACGTTATAAAGTTTATTAATAGCCTGAGAATGGTCAAATAGCTATCAGATCTGAGAACGGTCGCGATCCCCATCTTCCATCTCTTCCATCTCCTCCGCCATCCCCACCACATCGATCTTCTTCCCACCGCCTCCGCCGCCGCTGCAACTCCCCGACGTCATCCACCCCGCTGCATCTCGCCGCCGTCTTCCACCCCGCTGCATCGTCCACATCGCCGACGCACTCCTTCCCCGCCGCCGCCGCTTCACGCTCTCCTCCCCGCCGCCGCTTCACACTCTCCTCCCCGCCGACGCACCGTCTCACACCGGCCCTGCCCTCCGCCGCCGCCGCCGCCAGCCATCAACGGAGCCATATCCCGGTAAGTTTTATATTTTTTTTAATTATTATTAATTATTTTCGAATTTTATTAAATTTATTTGCAATTTAGGGTTTGTTTGTATATATTTGTATGTTTTATTGATTAATTTTGAATTTTAGTCAATTTATTTGCATTTTAGGGTTTATTTGTATATATTTGTAATTATTGTTGATTAATTTTGAATTTTAGTCAATTTATAGAAAATGATATTATAAAACTAGTAACCTTGCTGTATGATATTTACGAGTAAGAATCACTTTCTCGACTTTGTGGATCCACATGGACACACTGAACCTTTTTTTTAAATGCTTTAATTTAGAAGAAAATTTGTTGGTCTCTTCTAGTCAACTTAGCTTTAAGGAATGAAACATGAACAGGCTTTAAATGAAGCAGAAAAAGGGGAGTCAGTTGCCATGCCTATTTGTGCATAATAATAGCATTAACTATCATAATAATATTTTGAATTGAGGCACAAACTTAAAAATTAAAATAGCATTAACTATCATAATAAATGGGCTATTTTTTTGCTTTTTGTTTTGTTTTGTTATTCTTTTTTTCTTTTATTGTGTTTTTTGTATTGAAACATTTTGTAAGACCACAAGAAGGCCATTTTAGAATATGTTAACCAAGTCTTAAGGAAAAGGGAAATGGATGGAAACTATTTGGAAGTTGGCATATGTTCTAACAATATAAGATTATTGTTGTTATATTAAACTAGAATGATACCTGAACAGTGCACACAGCTCTATAAGTATTTTAAAATTTACTTTTAAGATTTAAAATTGTTAGTGTTAATATACTTGGATTTTAAGTAATTTATTTTAACTATTTAAATGTCTAACATTTCAATGAGATATTCCTCTTTTTATTACATTTTTTTTGGAAAAGCATTGCACACAGAGGATATCCTTTTTTAGCTTTTAAAACTTGAACATACACTTGTAACCTCAAGCAGAAAAAGGGGAGTCAATTTATTTGCGTTTTAGGGTTTATTTGTATATATTTGTAATTACTAGTCTATTTTCACCACAACAATTATTTTAGATAGAGTTGAATCAATGTTAACAAAATTTTTGTTGGAATTAATATTATTCTAGATTGACTTGTGATGGATAAAAGTTGGATGAAAACTTCTCGGTTGAGTACGGAATATGAAGCCGGAGTTAGAGAATTTATAGAGTTTGCAAAACGTCATCTTCCAAATAAAGATGCAACGTTTTGGTGTCCTTGTAAGAAATGTTGTAATCTAAAACTATTAAGTGCCAAGGACATATATGATCATCTAATTTGTGATGAAATTAATCTAAATTATACAAAATGGATATGGCACAGTGAAGGAGGAAGAGAGACTAGTACATCTAACATGTATGTTGACAACGAAGCAAATGAAGATGATGAGTCTGAAGATAGGTTGGACGAAATGTTCCGTGATGTTGGAGAAGAGTTCACAAATCGATCAAATGAGTTGGATGAATTATTAAATGATTCAAAACCGCCTTTATGGCCCGGGGGTAGTAAATATACTTGCTTATCTGCAGTTTTGAAATTATTCAACTTAAAAACTGGGAATGGATGGAGCAACAAGAGCTTTACTGCTTTACTTGATTTAATAAACGATATGCTTCCAGAAGATAATGGACTCCCGAAGAGTACATATGATGCAAAGAAGATTATGTGTCCCATGGGTATGGAGTATGAAAAGATACATGCTTGTCCTAACGATTGCATATTGTTTAGGAATGATTACAAAGAATTGAATGCATGTCCGATCTGTGGGGCATCTCGGTAAAAAATAAGAGAGCATGTTGTTGGTAAGGCAAGTTCGAAAGGGCCACCAGCTAAAGTTATGTGGTATCTCCCAATTCTTCCAAGATTTAAGCGTACGTTTGCAAATCCAAGCGACGCGAAAAACTTAACATGGCATGCAGATCAAAAAATTTTCGATGGCAAGCTTTGACACCCAACTGATTCTACTCAATGGAAAACCTTTGATAATGTTTTTCCTGAATTTGGCAATGAGTCCAGAAATCTTAGACTTGGCCTTTGTACAGATGGTATAAACCCTCACGGGAACCTAAGTAGCAAGCATAGCTCGTGGCCAGTTATGTTAGTGATTTATAATCTACCTCCTTGGTTGTGTATGAAACGCAAATATATATTACTGTCCTTGATGATTTCTAGCCCAAAACAACCTGGTAATGATATAGATGTCTTTTTGGCACCTTTGATTGATGACTTGAAAAAATTGTGGGATGAAGGTGAGTTAGTGTTTGATGCCTACCTGAAAGAGAATTTTAAGTTGCATGCTATGCTTTTTTGCACAATCAATGACTTTCCAGCTTATGGAAACCTGGCTGGGTATAGTGTCAAAGGACATAAGGCATGCCCTATATGTGAAGATAATACATGTTATACACAACTTGTCCATGGCAGAAAGGCAGTCTACTTGGGTCACCGAAGGTTTCTTGATAGAGCTCACCCTTACAGGAGATTAAAAAAGGCTTTCAATGAGCAACAAGACTATACAGATGCTCCACAACCAATGACTGGGATTGAAGTTTATGAACGTGTAAAAGGTATAAATGTTACTTTTGGTAAAACTCAAAAGCTTAAATCTCAAAGAGGTAAGAGGTTAAGAGCTAATGTTGAGGTACCTCCAAATGAAAAGAGTCCATGGAAAAAGAAATCCATATTTTTTTATCTTCCATATTGGAAGACATTAGATGTGAGACATAGTATTGATGTGATGCATGTGGAGAAAAATGTGTGTGATAGTCTTGTTAGAACTCTTTTAGATATAAAAGGTAAGACTACAGATGGACTCAATGCTAGATTAGACTTGATTGAAATGAACATAAGAGCAACATTAGCTCCACGCCAAGGGGATAAGAAGACATATTTGCCTCCAGCTGCTCATACTTTATCAAGAAAGGAGAAAATAAGTTTTTGTGAGTGTTTACGTGGAGTCAAGGTACCACAATGGTACTCATCAAATATTAGAACACTTGTGAATATGCAAGATTTAAAATTGGTGGGATTGAAATCTCATGATTGTCATGCCTTAATGCAGCAACTATTGCCAGTGGCTGTTAGAGGTATATTGCCCAAAAAGTTGAGATATACTATTATAAGGTTTTGTTTCTTTTTCAATGCTATCTGTGGAAAAGTGATTGATCCAGACAAACTAGATGAATTGCAAAATGGCATTATTGTTACATTGTGTCAGTTGGAGATGTATTTTCCACCGTCATTTTTTGATGTCATGGTTCATTTGGTTGTACATCTGGTGCGAGAGATCAAACAGTGCGGTCCTGCTTCTTTGAGGTGGATGTACCCATTTGAATGGTACATGAAAGTCTTAAAAGGTTATGTGAGGAACCGATATCGACCAGAAGCATCTATTGTTGAAAGCTATATTGCTGGGGAGGTAACTGAATTTTGTATTGAATATTTGGCGGGGGTAGAAGCTATTGGTCTTTCTAAGTATCGACATGAAGGAAGAAGTGCTGGGAAAGGTACTCGAGGACGCAAAGTAGCCGGTATGCCTCGTGAAGATATTGAGGAAGCACATTTGTACATCTTGCATAATACAAGTGAAGTCGAGCCATATTTAGATGAGCACAAGGCATTGATTAAAGAGCAAAATCCAAGAAAGACAAACATGTGGATTGTGAGCGAACATAATCGTACTTTTATTAGTTGGTTCAAGAATAAAGTTCTGAGTGCTACTAACTATTCTGAAACAGTACGATGGTTAGCTCATGGTCCTTGTATGCAAGTCATATGTTATACTGGATATGATATAAATGGATTTTCTTTTTATACAAAAAAAAAAAAAAAAAAAAAAAAAAAAAAAAAAAAAAAAAAAACAAGATGAAAAGAGCACTATGCAAAACAGTGGAGTTTCTTTCGTTGCAAATTCAGTGCACTTCAGTAGTTCGAAAGATAAAAATCCGGTCATTGCAGAGTTGTCATATTATGGTGTGATTGAAGAAATATGGGAGGTTGATTATGTTCAGTTCAAAGTGCCGATGTTCCGATGTAAATGGGTAGATAGTAAACACGGTGTTAAAGCTGATGAGTTAGAGTTTACACTTGTCGATTTGAACAGGGAAGGTCACAAAAATGAGCAATTCATAATGGCATCTCAAGCAAAACAAGTATTTTTTGTTACTGATCCTAGTGATAAAAAATGGTATGTTGTTCTTCATGGAAAGAGACAAATTACTGGTGAAGGGAATGAAGATGTTAGTTATGAGATTGAGGAAATACCACCCTTTTCTTCAAGTTTATTACCAGTTATTATAGATAATGAGATAGATGAAGTGCATGCATGAAGGGCTATGGGAGAATTGATTATTATTTGTAATGCTTTAACTTCTTCTTGTGTTTACTATATCTAAATATTTACAGTTATATTTATGTATATTATTCTTTTGTCAATTCACTAATAATTTATTTGCTAAACATGCATATGGATTCATCAAATGACCCCCCTTGTTGATAGTACCATCCAAGCTAAAGGTACTAATACCAAAGCTAAGAAGAGGGGTGCCACCGTTATGACAAAATTAATTTCTGGGCGTGGTGACACAAACACGAAATTGGTGGTTCAATTTAATAGTAAACACGAAGCTGTTGGGGCAGGGAGCGCCCAATTCAAAAGTTACTTTGCGTTGATTGCACGGAGCAAAGTTCCAATCACATATAAAGATTGAAAAGTGGTCCTAGAAGAGAGTAAAGCGTTAGTGTGGGATGATATCATGGTATGCAACTTATTTATAAAACTATTGAATTAATTGTATTTAATTTGTTTCTAATAAGTAATCTTGTCTTGTAGAGCGTTTATGATATTCCCACTGATGATGCGGATCTGAAGGATTTTTTGATGAAATATGCGGGTGAACGATGGAGAGATTTTAAAAGTAGATTGAAAAGAGACTACATATTCCATAATGAAGACCCAATAAAGAATACTCCATGTCAAAAATACACATTCGTTGATCCAAATACATGGAAAACGTACGTGGAGCGGCATAAAACTGCAGAGTTTGAGGTATATATTATAATTTTTCTATCAATTATTTATTAACTCAAATATATTAAAGATATATATTTTTACTTAATGTTTTCTTTTTGTGTAGGAATCAAGAAAGAAACATCAAGAAATACGGAGTAAGAATGTTCATCCACATCATTTAGCCCGAGGAGGCTATAAGAGATTGGAGAAGATTATGATGGATGAGAAGATGAAAGAACAAGAAGAAGCTGCAAGATCAGATCCATCGTCAGTAGTTGTTCCTCCATCTCCGCCAGCTAGACATGAAAAGTGGAAGAGGACAAGAATGAACAAATCAGGAAATATCAACAACGAAGCGACTAGAATGGTCGTGGAAAAGATTGTAAGTAAAATCTTAAAATTTTCTACATTATTAAGATAGCTAGTAATCATTATTAAATATTGTTTTTATATGTTAGGATTTGCTATCATTGCAAGCTTCTCAAGGAGAGTTTGTTGAGTCCGGTACACAAGATATATTGTCTAGTGCCATAGATACAGATGAGCATTGCGGACGTGTTAGAGCCATGGGTAGAGCACATGGCTTAAAAAGCTACTTTGGTCATGCAAAACGTCGTCAAAGCCAGTCTACACCACAAATGAAAGATATGATTAAGACAGCAGTTGCTGAGGCGTTAGCAGTTGCCCGAGAGGAATATGAAACATCCTTGCAAGCAGTCATTCGAGAGATGAGGAATGAAATTAGTAGTATGAGGACTCCAGCGGCTCAACTTGTACCATCAAGGCAGGAGGAAGACATGCGTGTAGCTGTCCAACCACATGGTCATAGTGAAAAAGCAAGCTCTCCAGACCCTTTTGCTGATTTACCGGCCGTAAGTAATCATTTATAACTAATCTTATTATTTATTAAAAACATTTTACCTATTTCTTAATATGAATTCATGCAGTTAGGAGCCGGATGTGAATTGTATTTAGAAGATCCCATTAGATGTAAAGTTGCACGTGGGACAGTTTACAAGGCCGAAAGGGTTCACGAGATACAAATACATGCGGATCAAGTGAAGGTCACCGTGACTGAAATTCTCGTGTCAAGTGCAAAGGTACCCTTCCATACCGATGAGGTTCAACTGTTAAGGGATGCATTGCACAACTTTATTATTTGGCCAAAGAAGTTGGTTGAGTTGTATACTGAAGTTGATGAGGTATGTATTTTAAAAAATTTTGGATTTTAAAATAGTGTTTAATTTACTTTTTAAAAATAGTAATTGTTAGTTATATTGAACATGTACAAATGACTTATGATTCCGGTGTGCAACGACCTTTTGCTGATCTGAATATAGCTGATCCGACTTCTTTGAGTCCTCGATGTCTAAAGATATATAAAATTATTCGCAAACTTGATGAAAATTTTGTGATAAAGATGGAGCGTGGTATTGTGGGCGATGTTGACTATCCCTTACAACTTGACCCGTTGGAGATTATGCGTTTCTTAAGGATGGAGACGTTAGATGTTTCCATATTGCAGTTCTTTATAAGGTAATAATTAAGTTCTTTACTTATATTTGTTTATATAATATTTTTCATTTCATCTATTATATTACTAATATATATTATTGATTGTACTTTTGAATAGGGGTCTTTATGACAAATTTGATTTGGCATCAAAGACCACATATGGCTTCTAAGATCCACATTTCATTCAACCAATTTCAAATTCTATAGATGAACGGACAGGGCATATCAACGTTACCATGCAATATGGCCAAAAACAATGCTATCTAGCGCCATATATTTTAAAGTAAGTTTTAATTGTTTAAAATAAAATAACTTATATATAATACACTTTTATTATATATTATATTTACTTACAACTAATACATTATTAATTTGTAGTGATCATTGGATGTTGATGGCAATTTGTCTTCAACTTAATGAAATCTATTGGTTTGATTCAATTGGAGGCCAGCCACGTGATGACATCAAAGATATTGTTGAAAAGTATGTGAACTTATAAGTATTAATATGTATAATTAATAAAGTATAAAGTATTTATGTAAACTAATCTCTTATAATTTTAGGTGTGTCAATTCAGCAAAGTTGTTGAGAAGCAATGGATCAACTCGTTCACCAAAATGGACTAAGGTTTTGGTAAGTATTTTATACATTTGTAAAACTACATATATTTTATTGTTTTTTATTAAATAAAATTTTAAATGTAATTTAATTCAAATGTAGTGTGCTCAAGAAGTTGGAAGTTCGGCATGTGGATATTATGTGATGAAATACATGCTTGAAATTCTTTTCAAAGAAGCATGTGCGGGAATGGATAAGGCATGTAATTTAATATAATACATTTCTGTTTCTAATTTTAAAAATGCTAGCTTACTAATTATTTAATAATTATCAACTTTGTAGATTGTTGAGAGAGTTGGTAGATCGAGCTACATTCAACAAGAAATTGATCAAGTAAGAGACGTATGTGCCGACTTCTTTGTTGATGTATGGTTAAGTATGTAAATTGAACAAATTGATATTAGTTTTTGATAATGTTAACTTGTATTATTAATTAGTATCAAATTGTGAGATTTATTACTTTTATTACTTGTTTCATTATAAATATTAGATTCTACATTTTTTGTTGTGGTTGTGGTGCAATAATTGAGCAGGTTGTGGTTGTGGTTGTGGTTGTGGTTGTGAGTAGATTTGAGCAGGTTTTTGGGTATAAATGGACAAATAAACTGTATATTAAAAAAAAAAAACATACAACATCGGCTATTAAGTAATAGCCGACGTTGAATATATTTTTTTAAAAAAAATAAATAACATTTACAACGTCGGCTAATAGCATTTAGCCTACGTTGTATAATATTTAAAAAAAAAAATACTTACAACGTCGGCTAAATGCTAATAGCCGACGTTGTAGGTATTTTATAAAAAATTAAAATACCTACAACGTCGGCTAATAGGATTTAGCCGACGTTGTAAGTATTTTAATTTTTTTTTTAAATACTATACAACGTCGGCTAAATGCTATTAGCCGATGTTGTAAGTATTTTAATTTTTTTTAAAATACTATACAACGTCGGCTAAATGCTATTAGCCGACGTTGTAAGTATTTTAATTTTTTTTTAAAATACTATACAACGTCGGCTAAATGCTATTAGCCGACGTTGTAAAGTTTATTTATTTTTTAAAAAAATAATATATAACGTCGGCTATTTATATAGCCGACGTTATAGATAATATTTACAACGTCGCCCAGAACAACTACGGAACATAGCCGACGTTAAAAGCTCTATTTAGCCGACGTTAAAAGTCTGTTGTGTAGTAGTGTTAGACTCTTGTATTCGTTTACTTTCTTCTATGCCTGGTACTCAGATCAGTTTTGTTAGTAGGGTCGCGAATCAAGCGGCTCACTCTTTAGCAAAGCATGTAAGTGCTAGTTTAGCACGTTCTACTTGGAGGGATGTTCTACCTCCTTTTCTTCTGCCTGATTTGGCTAATGAAATCTAGTTTGCCTTGGTTTTCAAAAAAAACTTAGAATTACCTATTTAAATACGCAAATTCAACATTCAATTATCTATGCATGAACAATTCCAATATAATCTTGTATTGATATACTTTAAAGTACTTATTTAAAAAAAAAAAAAAAAAAAAAAAACATTGGGCATTATCTCAATCGCGCAATGCGCGTAAAAAAACTAGTTATTGGAATAAGGTTCAAATTGGCCCCTGAACGTAACCTGAAAATGCAATTAGATCACTGAACGAAAAAAATGCAATTATGCCACTGAACACTCCAAATCAATGTATTTTCACCTGATAGCAGGTTACCTGCTTAAATGACAGTTGAGTTGGCATTTTTAATAATTAAAATTTTTTTAAAAAAAAATGACGGTGTGGCCGCCATTGTTTTATTTTATTTTTTATTTTTTATTTATTTTTTTTTGAAGTTTTTTAAATTTATTATTAAAATTTATTAAAAATTATTTAAACTCAACTGCTACGTAAGCAGGTAACCTGCTATCCGGTGAAATTGCATACATTTGGAGTGTTCAGTGTCCTAATTACACTTTTTTTTTCGTTCAGTGACCTAATTACATTTTCATATTATGTTCAATGGTCAATTTGAACCTTATTCCTATTTTATTTTTACAAGGTGAATATGTGTTTTGCTTCGGATCTATGGAGACAAGCAATCTGTGTTTATAAGTAGTAGTGAAAAATAAATATACAACTATACAAGTATTAGTGAATTGTTCATAAATGTTTAAATCTCATAAATTTTTTTTATTTTACTGTTATATGATAGACAATCAACCACAATTGCATCTCAAACCGATCAATCCATCAATGTTGACATTTCAACATACGCATTGATCTAGATTTATATGGACATATCCAGATCTTGATGCTTGTATTAAAGTGGGCAATTTATATCCTACACCACGATGCGCATTGCATTGTGCGTCCAGATAAAAAACGACGTCATTTCAATTTTATTTTTATTTTTTTTGAAATTTCGCGTACCAGTGTTTGGCAGTTAATTTTCCTTAAAAAAAATCCCATGTTTAAAAATGTACATAATGTTATACTAGAATACACAGAATTGTATACATGAATGTACATAATTGTATAACAAAATACACATACTTTTTTTAAAAAAGATAATACATATAATCTAACATAATACATAATATACATAAACTTTTAACATAATAAACATCAACTCTTAACATAATATACATAAATTTCCTGTTTCGGATGTACATAATTGTATAAAAAAGATATACATGATTGTATAAAAAATGTACATAATTGTATAAAGGGAAAATTATAAAAAATGTCCCTCTATAATATGCCAATTATCAATGTCACCCCTGAATTATGAGTGGCGTAAATGTTGTCCCTCAATTATCAAAACGGTGCACATATAGCCCCTCCCGTAACGGACATGTGGTTTCCCGTTAGTGTATGACACCGTTAAGTCGTAGTAAATATGTAATTTAGTTGTTTTTTCCCTCCCTCGGTTCGAAGTACCAGCGATGGACAGCGGTAGGGAACCACAGGTCCGTTACGGGAGGGGCTATATGTGCATCATTTTGATAATTGAGGGGTAACATTTACACCACTCATAATTCAGGGGTGACATTGATAATTGGCATATTATAGAGGGGCATTTTTTACAATTTTCCCTTGTATAAACAAATACACATAATTGTATAAACAAATACACATAATCGCGTCAACTCCCTACATGACTTACCAAAACGACGTCGTTTTGGGAGGCGCGGGGCACACAGTGCTATGCGCGCCGCGGTGCATGGTATAACGATTGATTAAAGTGGGGTTGTACGATGTCCAAACAATTTCACGAGAAGCCCTTGATCCAAGAATGCTAGAGTATGAGAGTATCTATATGTGACGGGCTTTTACGGTGTTGCATACCTCACTCATATTAAGCTAGACCATGCACTGATTGACGCAATTTTTGAGCGTTGGCATCCAAAGGTCCACGGTTTCACATGCCCTTCCGTGAGGTCGGCATAACACTACAAGATCTTGATGTGTTATTTGGGCTTAAGGTGGACAACATAGTTGTTATGGGGCAAGATAAGCGCCCTATCCTTGAGTGGAAGGCTATGTGTAGGGATTTGTTGGGAACTTGGGATTTAACCCCCTCAATGATTTCCTTACAACTAGCAAGATATATTCGACGGTCATCCCATGGTGCCAAAAATAACCTCAAACAGCATAGATGTACAGGTGCAAGTGGCTACACGAATACTTATATTTTATTTGTTAGGATGATTTTATGTTATAATAATATTATTATTATAATTGTTAAACCAAGTAGTAATTAATTTGTTAGAAGTTAAAGTAGTACATGGGTCATGTTTAGCAGTTAACATTACTTGGGATTAAAACATGTATGTTAACCTGGAGAGTGCATAGCAGTACATGGAAGACATGAGCATAATTTTAGGAATTTAGTTAGCTTCTTTTTAGTATAAATATGTTCATTACAAGGCATTATAATCATCAATCCAAAAGAGTTATTTCCTCTCTCTCTCTTCTCAATATATAAATATAATATATAGATATATTATATTTAATGTATATTATAGATATATTATATTATATTTAATATATATATTATATTAAATATATTATATTTAATATATCTTACATTTGGTATCAGAGCCAGTCAACCTTTCAACCCCGAAATATTTCCCGTAGTGAAATATGACAACAAATTTCAATATTGTATGGTCGGGTCCCAAATTGGACGGGAAACTCGATTACAATTATTGGCAAATTATGATGTCCACACATTTGCAAGCTCAAAATCTTTGGAGCTTTGTTGATCCCGATCTACAAGGAGGAGCTGAAGCAGGCGCTATACGGCGAGATAAATTGGCCTTGGGTCAGATTCACCAAGGTGTTCATTATTCCATTTTTGAGCAATTAGCTCGTGCTCAAACAGCAAAAGAAGCTTGGGACATCTTAAAGGTGTCACACAAAGGAGTTGATCGGGCGCAGAAGTCTAAGTTGCAGTCGTTGAGAAGGTTGTACGAAAATTGTGAGATGACCTCTATAGAAACAGTAGATGCGTATTTCACTCGTCTTATTGATATGGTGAATAAGATGAGGTTATACGGAGATACAATTGAAGATGGTGCAGTGGTTGAAAAAGTTCTTTGGACTATGCCGATGAAGTATGACCATGTGGTGGCTCGATCACAAAGTCACACAAAACTGAGCTCTTAACAATTGCAGAGCTGAAAGGTATGATAGAAAGTCATATTGATAGGATTGCGTCAAAATCGGAACCACTAGCAGAAGAAGCTTTGAAGAGTCAAGTCACCCTTAATGTGACTGGCACTAATCAAAGAGGTGGAGGATCTGGTAGAGGTCGTGGAAGAGGAGGATCTAGTGGAAGAGGCCGTGGTAAATTCAATCAAGGAGGAGGACGTGGTAACTCCAACCAAGGAAGAGGTGGAGGTAATACCAAACAAGGTAAATTTCCATTTCATTGCTACAATTGTGGCAAGTATGGGCACAAGATTGCAGATTGTTGGTATAATGAGGACAGCAATTGTGGAAATCAAGCAAACATTGATGAAAACACTGCTGAAAAATCTGGTGAGAGTTCTGAAACTTTACTTTTAGCCAGCGATAGTTTTTCTGCAGATAAAAACATATGGTTCTTGGATACTGGGTGTAGTAACCATATGTGTGGGAAGAAAGAATTGTTTTCTGAACTGGATGAATCAGTCCGGTCTGAAGTGACATTTGGCAATAAGTCAAAGGTGCCAATTTTGGAAAAAGGTAAAATCTCTATTCAGTTGAAGGATGGTACTCACAATTTTATATCCGATGTGTTCTATGTTCCTGAACTACACCAAAATTTGTTGAGTATGGGACAGTTGTCAGAAAAATGATATAAGATAGATATTGCTCAGGGGTGTTGTACCATTGCAGATGCTAAAGGAGTTTTGATTACAAAGATAAATATGTCCCAAAATTGACTATTTCCTTTCAAAATTAAGCATACTCTCCTTGCTTGCGTTAATTCTGAAGTTTGCGATGATAATTGGTTATGGCATATGCGATTTGGGCATTTTCATTTCTCTGGATTAAACTATCTTGCAAGAAAGGAACTTGTTTCTGATTTACCTGTTGTGAATGTCCCTAATCGTATTTGTGAGATTTGTGTGATTGGGAAGAAACATAGAGATCCCTTTCCCGTGGGCAAGTCAAGGAGAGCCACAAAACAGTTGGAGATTGTTCACTCAGACCTGTGTTCGTTGGAGGTTCCCTCACATGGAGGTTGTAAGTACTTTATTACTTTCATTGATGATTTCAGTAGGAAAACATGTGTTTACTTTCTGAAGCAAAAGTCTGAGGCATGTGATGTTTTCAAACAATTTAAGACTTTTGTTGAAAAGCAAAGTGGTTATGAAGTTAAAATCTTGAGAACTGATAGAGGTACAGAATATATTGCCTGTGATGATTTTCTGAAAGAAAAGGGTATTCAGTACCAAATGACAGCTAGATACACTCCACAACAAAACGGAGTGGCTGAGAGGAAGAATAGGTCTATCATGGATATGGTGAGATGCATGTTGAAATCTAAGAATCTGCCTAAGCCTTTTTGGGCAGAAGTTGTTGCTTGTGCTATCTATGTGTTGAATAGGTGTCCAACTAAGAGTGTCCGTGATAAGACGCCCGAAGAAGCTTTGAGTGGAAGAAAACCCTATATCAAATATCTCAAGGTTTTTGGATGTTTGGCATATGCCCACGTGCCGGATCCGTTGAGAAAGAAGTTGGATGATAAAGGTGAGAAGTGTATATTCATTGGTTATAGTGACGCTTCAAAGGCTTATAAACTATACAATCATGAAACTAAGAAGGTTGTTATAAGTCGTGATGTCACTTTTGATGAATATGGTGCCTGGGATTGGTTAGCTAAAGATGAAAGTTCAGTTGTTATTCCTGTTGTTGAAAAT